ATAAAATTGGTCTAGATTCAACCCTAGAACTCTCAAAAAAATAGATATACAAATTTTAGCCCAAGTTAATTTGTCTTTTGGTCTTTAGGCAGAATTGGAAACTAAGTTGTCTCTCCACTCAAGAATTATGTTGACTAGTTTTTATAGAACAGGGTCAAATGACTGATTTTTATAACAGATGATTTTATTGATAAAACAAAACATTCCCAGGGAACATTTTGAATATAACAATATTTTATGAGAACAAATAGGCACAGACCCAGTCCTCAGAGCTCTGCCTCACATCATGATTTCTCTTCAAAATATCTTGGACACCAGCAATTATCCTCAAAGATAATCTCTTTCTATACCCAAACTGGTCCTGTTCATCCTAGTAGAAATAGTTAAAAGTACCTTTACCAGTCTGTCCTATTAAGGAAAACTGTTGTATATGACTATCAAAATAGTTTTAACCATCAGGATTGACTGTCCAACTAACTGTATGGTTATCAAAGCAATGAGTGACCTGGCCAGGTAGCTAATTCTGATTAGATAAACTGTCAGTTTTCAAGGCCCATCTTAAAAGCTGTCTTTGCTTTCACAGCTGTACCAGATCTTATTCTTTTGATACTAGAGATTTAACTACAGTAAGTTTCAATGAATCTGTTTATAGTTACACAATTAAGAACTGTAAGAGTTAATACAGTTCAAATGGGCCAAATGTATTTGTGTGCTGACTTTAAAATTGCCTTATGTGTACTTGCTGGTCTAGTCTGTAAACAGCTGTTTTTAGTTCAATTTTTTTTTTCTTTTTGCAATTGTGGATTTTTAAACATTTGCCTGTAATATGTCAACTTATAAATAATTGTCATCAAAATTAAAGGCGCTTCCATGTAAGATGCCATCTCATCAAAATTGTCAAAATTGGTTTTACCAATGTAATAAATACTGTTTCTTGAGTACAATGACTCAAAAATCTTTCATTGGTTAAAAAAATGTTAATTAGTAGAGTCTGGTTCTCATAGGTCATGAAAAATTTGTTTAAAAGTTATACAGACATTCCTTAGGGTGGCAGAGCTGTTGGACTGGATTCCCCTCGGTGAATAAGAGGACTGCATAAAAAAATTTTGTGTGGCTCCCAGGAAAGGTGAATTGGCTTCTCCTTATACTCCTCCCAGACCCAGTATGGTTTCTGCCAACTCACAAAGAGTGAATTGGCTTGTCTCTTTTACTGGGCTCTGTATGGTGCAAGCCCCATAGGAAAGGCAAATTGGCTTCTTTTTGTACTCCTCCCAGACCAAGCATGAGTTATGCCAATTCATGGTAAGGGTGAACTGGCTTGCCCCTCTTCCTGGGTCCCCCATGGTTTGGGTGGTTCACAGGATGCAAAAAAAAAAAAACTCTTAAGACCTGGGGCATGTTGCTCAGTGCAAAAGCCCCATGTTTAATCCCCAGTAGAGTGGTGGGACAGAGAGAAACACAGATGATTTTAATCTTCTTGAGGCTTTATGTTTGCAGGAAGCGTGGGCCACAACTTTAATCCATTTGATTAATCTCTCTTCTCTCATTCTAAGGATAGCTCTAATTTTTCAGCAATCATGCTATATAATTACCATCATTCAACAGAAAGGTAACCACCATTCCTGTGCATTACCACAAATCAATCTAAGAGAATATACTATTCTCCTGTGGAACACCCACTCCTCTAATTGTAATCCCTAAGGTCTTGGTTGGCTTTTCCTCAGTTTGTAGAAGGTTCCTTACCTACATTCCATAGTGGTCTTATATGTGCAACAGTGTGGGTTGAACACAATAAGCAAATATAAGTACTCCAAACCTCAAACTTCATCTTTTGGTGGAGCAATGTTTAGATACCTGTATTGTGATGCCCTTTGTTTACCTTACAGCTCTACATTAAAGAAGGCTTGACAAATTTCACAATACTGCAGCCAACCAATCATTCACAGTTCTGTAAGTAATCCCTAATAAATAAACTCATTTACTTGTCAAGCTAGATTGTCTGAGACATTCTTTAGACTGTTATCACTCTCTCTACTGAGAGGAAGACACTTCTTTTATTGTCTGCCCTGGAAATTCATGGGTCATTTGGTACCTACTCAGGGCCCCAACAGACACAAGGATGAGGCAGAAAAATGTATCTGTAGGGGAAAACTCAGGGTGTTCATCCTTCATGTGGTATACAGTGGCATATTTTCTTAACTTTGATCTGTCTGGATAGGAGACCCTAAAGATGGAAAATAGACAAAGAAATACATGTGGTTTCTGAAAGTCTGTACCGGACTGCTGAAAAGCTACAGCCAGTATTGTATGAAGTCTATTATAGAAAATAAAATGTGTTATCAAGGCTAAATTTTTAACTTGGGAAATCTTGAGGCAGCCACCCTCCTCCAAGTGCTATTGAGTTGTTCAACTCATTTATGAGTCTAATTTTCTGTGTGCATTCAGGGATGTTCTCAAAACACCTAATAAACTAGACAAATACTGTAATCCCTTAAAGTCCATATGACATAGAATTCCAGAAGATATCCTGGGATGGCTATCTACCTCGAGAGGAGTGATAGTTACTATTATGGGTATCTGGGGGCACACACATGATCTCAGTAGTTGACAAAGTGGCACTAAACATGCTCCTCCTACCTCATTCTACCAACTGGCTGGAATATAGACATACACCATGACATCAAGTCCAAAAATTCTTTAGTGGAAACACTACTAAATTTTAAGTCACTGACCTTATTTCAAAGGGACATGTAGTATTCCCCACTTAATGAAATAAGGGCTTTCATTTTACTGATTCCTTTTTACAACCATGAAAATCCTGTGAGAATAGCATATCCACAGCTCAGAAAGTTCAGGTTAAAATTCAAATATACGGAGCTTTTTGAGAAAATTCTAAAAGGGCGGTTGTGGGTCAAGAGAACCACCAAGGAGACAACCTACCATGAACCAGTGGTGGTTATGGGACAGGACAACCAAAAAGACAATCTGCCCCTCCCATTAGCCAGCCATCATGTGGGAGGGGAGACAAGATCCTCCCATTAGGCAACTGGCTGATTTGGATGAACACTGGCTGGAATGACAAATTTAAGCTCAATCTAACAATATAAAATTTAAGTTATCTTCGTAGGATAACTTAAAATTTATATTGTTAGATTGAGTTTGCAGCCCTAAAGCCTAATAGTAGTCTGAGCATCTGTTTAAAGCACAGCAATATGCAATATAGCAACTATGGGTGATTTCCTTTGTTTTCGTTTTTGAAATCCAATAGTTTTGTTTCGTTCCATTTCGTTTTGCTTTATTCTCTTCAAAATTAAAAAAAGATTCTCAAAGAATGGAGATTATTTCATAACCTGAAAGTATATGGCAACTTACAGACGTCCTTCCATCTTTGACATATAACATTAACATAGTTTAACTTTTAATTAATTATTCTGCAGTATGCAAGGAAGACATTTATCCTTGGATACTTATTCTTCATATTATCATATGAAGTACATTGTAAGAATTAAATAATTTATGATAGCATTGCATGAGTTCTCTGCAGAATAAATTTTTTAAAGAGAATCCCAAGGACACATCTTTGAAGAATTAACTTTTTTGTGTTTGAGTCAGGGTCAATTCAATGTGGACTATAAAGCCAAGGTTAGCCTCAAACCTGTGGCTATCCTACCTTAGCTTCCTAAGTGTTGAGATTTACAGGTGTGAACCACCACAGCTGGCAAAATTTACTAAGTGCACCATTACTTTTCTGGTTTCACTCCAGAATAGATTCTTTTGTGACAACAAAATGAACATTTGATAATATTCAGAATTCTGATTATAATGTAAGGTTTCTCCTCAGTTCAGCAATTCGATAGATGTGATGCCTGGCTAACAACCTTAACATGCCTATTACCTTTCTATGGCTTCCTCAAAGATAAATCACTTGATGCCTAGTGAATTTTGATGCTTGGGAGTGTCTGTTGTGTATATATATACATTGTATTTTTAAATAACTGCTGCTCTGTGGTAGGGCTTGGGATGTTGATTATTGCTAGAATTTATGATGAAGTTTTAATCAACTTCATTGCTTCTGTGAATGATCACTCATGTAAAAATTCTACAGTGTTATGCAAGGTGTCAACTGCAACATACATAAGCAGCTGAAACCATCAGGCTTGTGTAAAGGCAACATGGTATGGAATTTAGAGGCAAGATCTTCTGCCCCAAACAAAGTGAAATGTGTCCCTTTTATAGGGATGGTGAGAAGGCAGGGAACATTATGAAGGAAGTTCATATGAAGGAAGATATGAAATATTTGTGGACAGTTTTCTAGCAATCTTGCATCTCAGTGAAACGTCTGATGCAAATTTTGGGGCATTTCCAGATGTTCCCAGGATCTGCCAAATTCCTTGTCCTATTTTATCTCTTTTCCTGTGCTTGTGAACGACGACCTCTGCAGGGTGCTGAATTAAATTCTCTGCAGAAAGCAGTGCTTTTGCTGGCTAGCAGGCTGGGCGACTGGGAGGATTAGGTCCAGCTGAAGACTTACATTCCCATCCTTAGTGAAAAGGGAAGGGACAGGACAGGAAAAGAGAAAGGAAAGGATAGGAAAAAGGAAAAGGAAAGGAAAAAAAGGGAAAGAAAAAGGAAAGAGAAAAGTAAAAGGAGAGGAAAGGAAGGGAAAAGGAAAGAGAGAAGAGGTAATGGGTGTCAGTCCTTATGGCTTTCTCCTGCACATCACATGAGCTGAGTGTGCAACCACGTGGGAGAAACATCTTGAAGAACAGGACTGTGTTGAAGAGAAGTTAGCACCAGTATCTATCTTGGTAATCGCTTGCTTGCAATCCTGTGAAAAACAAGAGAAAAGTCTGAGAAGGCATGGAAATCCAGATCTGGGGAGGAATTGGAATGGCTATATAAGTTGTTGCTGACATGGAAATGCAGAGGCAACAATCTTTGGATAGGGTAGGATTGTAGTAGTTTAGTAAAAAATGAATTAACATTGTTTTGGAAAGGTGTTTTGGATTGTGTGAAGCTGCCAGTCATAGGAATTGGGATAAAGGTTGTAGGTAAGAGGAAGGAAGTTGAATTTGGGTTGTAGTAAACCCAAGCAGGAGTGAAAGTATTTTATCCCTGAGGTAAAAGACAACTGCGCTGGAATTGCAGTAAAATTTGAGAGTAAGAGCTACAGAAAATGTATAATAAAATGGCCTATTATAAAGAGGGTAATGAGAAAGTCTAGAGAATTTTAGAATCTGATATGGTCCCAACTGATCATTTTAATATTGTGAATAGCCAGAGACATAAGGACTAGGAATGTATAGACAGCATTTAGCTTTTATAACAGCACAAGTATTCTTTCATGTTGTTACAATAACTAATGCCATTGATTTTGAAGTACATCTTGTCATTCATACATATATATATATATACACATATGCATATATACATATATATATATTTTAATTTAGAAGTGAGAGAAGAGTCACGATGTCTTTTACAGTGAAGAACTATTATTTTGGAGGGCCTACTGACAGATGACATGGGTTTTTTTTTTTTTTTTTTTTTTATGTCTTACATGCCTCTAAAAAGGAAAAGTGTAACGTGGCAGGAAAAGATCAGAAATGATATCAGACCAGGAAGGACACAAGGACACTCGGGCAGAATAGGCTCGACTTTTCCTCTTGAGTATATAGAGGAGGATCAGGCCTCTATTATATAGAGGAGATCTCTCAGTGAAATGTTCTCTAAGTTTTAAGAACAGGTACCAACCGGGTGCCATTTAACAGGTGAAAAAGAGTCCCATGGTTTATACATATATCTTGTTACTGTCTAAGATTAAAACCTACAGTAGTTACAACAATTTAATCAAGTCTTGATGTAACATATATAAAACAAAAATATAAAACCTTGACCACAAAAGCAAAATATCCTTTAAAGAAACATTATAAAGTGATTTATAAATGGCACAGTGACAAACAAGAATAATAATTATGATTATCTAATATATCAATTAAGGAATAAAAATGAACTCTTATCTCTTGTTAATTATTTGATATGAAAAAATTAAAGGCATCATGTTCTTATCACCAAGAGCAATTTGGGCTTCAGATCAGGCAGGAGAAAGAGATGTTTGAGCTTTTGCAGAAGGCAGGCTAACAGAGGCAGGAGGGTAGACAGTTTTCTATTTGAGAATAAAGAGGTTTGGGAGAAGGAAAAGAGAATTTTCCATCATAAGCAGAGACAGGTTATTGTCACACCTGGTGTGGCAAAATGAGCAGCTGCAGAACCTATACTGAATGTCTTCAGTTAAAGCCAAGGCCATCAGGGGACATGGGTGAGAGACCAAGAACAGGTGTCACTGCAGTCAACCACCAGGGGGAACCAGCTTCATAGGGGACTGTTGGCTAGTTTTCAGGGCACAGAAGAATTTTTTTTTTTTTTTTTTTTTTTTTTTTTTTTTTTTTGCCCCAAGGGATGAGAGACAAGAGAGCTGCAAAGCAGTCAACAGCAGAGAGGAAGGATTGCACATGCATGTGAAGGGGGAACTCTCAAAGGTGCAGAGCACATAATGCCCAGAAGGGCAATGAGCTTACCAGATCTGAAGCAGTCAGCATGACACGAGCTGGGGAGCTACCTGGGTTTAGATCATCTTGGAGGCAGAGTTAGGAAGAAAAAGGAGACTGGGGAGCTTACCTGATACGAAACACCCAGTGAGATCTGGCATGGCAGAAGCAGCAAGAGCTGAAGGAAGTGTGGTCTAAGGATACCACCAGATGGCCTTAGCTGGAGTACAGCTCCAAAAGAACGCCTTTCAAAGACAGTTTGTCTCCTTTCCGGGGTCTTGGCACCAAAACATAACATGTAAGCAGAAGAGATCAGGCTTGAGCAAAAACAGTATGATACGAAATTCACCGTGCCTGGGTTCAGGGAAAGGGCATGAGAAGACTTGTTCTGAAAAAAGAAGTGTGTCCCTTCTATAGGGGTGGAAGAAGGCAGGGGGCATTAGGAAAAAGGTTCCCAATGAACATCTGTGGTTAAAGTTTTCTGGCAATCTTGCACCTCTGGGCAGTCCTTTGAAGTGTACGATGTAAAATTTTGGGTATCTCCTGATATCCCCAGAACCTGCAAAATCTGTTGTCCTACATCATCTCCTTATCTGTACTTGTGGACGATAATCTCTGGCACTCAGCCGAGTTCCTTGCAGACAGTACTGCTTCTGCTAACAAGTAGGGGGCTGGGACAGTCAGGCCTGGCAAGACTTACATGATCATCATTCATCACATTTCCATGGTTTTACTGCAGTGTAGGTTATCTGATGTGTATGGAAGTGTGTGCCTTATTTTTCCAAACTGATTACACTTTTTAAGGTTTGAGGATATATTTTCTGATAGGTATTAAGGACTGAGTGAGTACTGTAAGATTTACCACTCTCATTCCATTTGTGAGGTTTCTCTCCAGTTTGAATTTTCAGCTGCATAGTAATGTCAGATTTTCACTTTAACAAACTGTTTTACCCAATACATCAGTAAGGTTTCTCTCCACTGTGAATTAGCTTATGGTTAGCAGCCTTAAATGATAACTCAAGGTTTGTCTTACTACACATGAAAATTATCTTTCCAGCAGGAACTGTCCAGTGTTTTCTAAGGTTCAAAAACAGACAAGATTTCTGCTGCATTCCTCATCTGTCTCCAGGATTCCTCAGTAGTCTCCAATGAATTCCAAGTTAAGAGCTGTCACAGAAGACAGCCTTATTTTTTTCCAGTATGGATTACATGCTTAGGCTTAAACACACACGAACAGCTTTGCTACACTCACTTTTTCCTCCTGGAGGTTGTGGTACACAAAATATCAAATTTGTTACATTTTTAAGGTTTCTCTCCAGTATGGATACTTTGATGCTTTGCTAGGGATGACCTATACCTGAAAACGCTGGCACATTCGTTGCATTTGTAAGGTTTCTCTCCAGTATGGATTCTCTGATGACTTGTTAAGTATGACTTCTGCCTGAAGACCTTACCACATTCATTACATTTGAAAGGTTTTTCTCCAGTATGAATTATTAGATGTCGTGTAAGGTAGCAGTTGTGACTAAATACCTTGCCACAGTCATTACATTTGAAAGGTTCCTCTCCACTGTGAATTGCTTGATGTTGGGCAAGGTGTAAAACTTCATCAAATACTTCCCCACAATGATTACATTTATAAGGTTTCTCTCCAGTGTGGATTCTCTGGTGCTTTGCTAGGTATGATCTGTGACTGAAGACCTTGCCACATTCATTACACCTGAAAGGTTTTTCTCCGGTATGAATTCGTCGATGCTGTGCAAGGTAACAATTTCGACTAAATCCTTTGCCACATTGATTACATTTGAAAGGTTTGTCTGTAGCATGAACTGTTTGATGCTGGTCAAGGTGTGAAATCTGATGGAATACTTTCCCACATTCATTGCATTTGTATGGCTTCTCTCCACTGTGAATTGTACAATGATTTACAAGATGTGATATCTGATTGAAGGCTTTGCCACATTCATTACATTTGTAAGCACTCTCTTTATTGTGAACTCTCCAATGACGTGCCAGAGAAGAGTTTAGACTGAACACTTTGCTACATTCATTACACTTGTAAGGTTTCTCTCCAGTATGAATTCTTCGATGACATATAAGGTATGAATTCTGATTGAAGACCTTTCCACATTCATTACATTTGTAGGGTTTCTCTCCAGTATGAATGCGATGATGACGTGCCAGGTGGGAACTACGACTGAACACCTTGCCACATTCATTACATTTGAAAGGTTTCTGTCCAGTATGAATTATCTGATGTTCTGCAAGGTGTGAGTTACAACTGAACACTTTACCACACTGATTACATTCATAAGGTTTCTCTCCAGTATGGATTCTTTGATGCCTTGCTAGGGATGTCCTGTGACTGAACACTTTACTACACTGATTACATTCATAAGGTTTCTCTCCGGTATGGATTCTCTGATGATTTGCCAGGTACGACCTGTGACTAAAGACCCTGCCACATTCATCACATTTGTAAGACTTTTCTCCAGTATGAATTGTCAGATGTTGTACAAGGTAGCGATTGTGACTAAAAGCCTTGTCACATTTATTGCATTGGAAAGGTTTTTCTCCAGAATGAATACCCTGATGATTTGCTAGGTGTGACTTACGAGTAAAGACCCTGCCACATTCATTACATTTATAAGATTTTTCTCCAGTATGAATTATCAGATGTTGTGCAAGGTAGCGAGTGTGACTAAAGACCTTGCCACATTTATTGCACTGAAACGGTTTTTCTCCAGGATGGTTTCTCTGATGATTTGCTAGGTGTGGATTTTGAGGAAAGACTTTGCCATATTCATTACATTTGAAATGTTTCTCTCCAGTATGCATTCTCCAGTGACTTACAAGGTGTGATCTCTGATTGAAGACCTTGCCACATATGTCACAAAGAAACTGATTCTCTCCAGCATGGACATTCTCATTCACAGTAAAGCATGAGCCATGGTTAGAAGATTTGCTACACTGATTCCATTTGTATGGTTTGGTATTAACGGACATTACTGGCTCTTGTGTGAAAAATAAAGAATCAAGAAAATCATTCTCATATTCATCAAAAGTATTTGTTTCAACAATAGGATTTCTTTGGTGGGATGAAACTGAGGAATTACTGTTGGTAGACTGTTTGGTGCAATTCCACTGATTAATATTCCTTTCAGTTTCAAATGGCTGTTGTTTAGGAAGATGTGACTGACAGTTTACTCCATGCCAATTTTTAGTATGTATCTTTCCTGTATCCCTTCTACTATATTCATTTCTATCAGTGAGATTTTCTTTGTGAGTCCCACATAACACTGTGTCAAGCCTTTTATCCTCTCTCCAGTGAGTCTTAAAGTCACGTATATTTTCCTGGATTTCATTGAAACATAATTCTTCAATGTGTTGGCCTTCACATTTTTCGAACACTACTGTCTGCAACACTTCTTCTGTATCACTTTTCTTTCTTGGTGGAAATTCCTTGATGACACATTGAGAAGTATCTATGAAATATAAGAAATCACTGAGTTCTGTTTAATTGTAGATGGCAAATAAATTCTGTTACTAAAACATGTAACAGTAATAAACCAAAAGCGATAACAATTGAACAAAATGTTAGGCTTTTCAGATTTTAGGAAAACAAAAGAAATAAGCGAAATTTGATTATACATAATTCAAATCACGTGGAGAAATGCTCAGCATGAAATAAAGTATGACCAAAGCACACACATTGCATAAACTTACTCAATGGGTACCTTGCTATTGCAATTATCAGTCCTCAGATTGGTAAGAAATACTATTTGTGAGTTAAGCATACTAGATTATGTTAGTTCTTTTTTTGTTTTTTGGTACCAGGGATCAAACTCATGACTTTGCTAGGCAGGAGCTGTGCCACTGAGCTATATCCTTGGCCCAGTCTGTTATTTCTAATGGAAGACGAAGGTAAATGAGACACGAAAAGGATCATCTCATCACAGAAAGTACAGAAGAGTGCTGTCTTACTAAACAAAAGAACTCTGAAACATTTACTATAATTAATTTTGTTCACCATTTCATAGCACTATTTTTAAAAATCCTTAAGGCAAGTTATCATTACTTCCAGTTAAGAACAGCATGTCAAGACATCTATGTTTCTAGTTCTGATTTATACACAGTACAAGTGAGAGAACAAGGATTTGACTCTTGGCCTACAGGCTCAAATATATTCTCAAAGATTCACAGGTGCAGTACATAAGAAAACAAGTCAGCAAATACAAGAAACATGGAAAGCACTATTTGCCATTGTTTTTGAGGATTGCATGTTGACTTTTCTGTTTTTTCTTTCTTTTCTTTAAAATAAAAAAATGTATACAATAGATATTGTGACTTGGAAGAAACTGTTCAAGGGAAGGGACAAACTGATGGGGAAAGAAAAATGGATAAAGGGAAAAAATATACATATATGCAGGATAGTTAAGGTAGTTATCCAACTAGCTTCTGTTACATCATATTACAGCAATATATGTGCACCCAGATTTATAGCAGGACAATTTGTAATAGCTAAATCTAGAAAACAACTCAAATGCTCATTGACTGCAGTGGATAAAAAAAGATGTGATATTTTTGTACAAAGGAATATTGTTTAGCTACAAAGAAGTATAATCTTGAGGCATTTATAGGCAAATGGAGGTAAATTGAGATCATACTCAAAGTGAAATAAATCAAACTCATGTTGGTAAATGTTATATTATCTCCCTAATGAAACAAAGACTGAAAGAATAATGGGATTCAAAATGTGCAAAGACATCATGATAATGAAAGGGAAAGAAAGTGCTCAAAAGGAAAGAATAGCTGGGATGGGGAAAGGAGAAAAGGAAGATGAGAAAAGATTATATGTATGTAGGTATATATGCATATCTATACAAGATAGATATCTATACTACTAATTTCTGTTAGTTCATCCAAAAGAACAGTTTGTGCTTTCATTGTCTGCTCATTTTTATGCCTAAATTTTGTAACCTTAACAACTTATTTCTAAAATAACAACATGCAATATATTAATCAGTGTTAATTTCCAATTTTTTAAAAATTCTGTATAATTTCTATCCTTTTTTCTGTTTTAGTTTTTAAAATAAAATAAAAATATTTTTAGTGGGAAAAAAGGACATTAAAGCAGATCATAAACTATGACCACATGAGACTTATTTCTGGAATATAAAGACAAGACAACATCAATTCATGTAATACACCCACATGGACAACATAAAAGGAAAAAATCACATAATCATTTTATATGATAGTAAAAATCATTTCAAAAAGTCAATACCAGGTGGTTGCTGTGATACACACATGTAAATCCAGCACCTGGGAGGCTGAGGCAGGATAATCACCATGAGTTTCAGGTCACATAAACCTCAATTCTGCTGGCTATGCACCTGCCATAATAAAAAGTTTTCTAGAAGAGGTTATTTGTAAACCCATGCTCACACCATTATTATTCACAGTAGTCAAGGGGAAGAAGCATCCCAAGATTAACAAAATATGATTATACATTTGCTGTGGCTTGTTCCCCAAGGGTTTGTCTCAGAAGCATGACCCTCCGTGCAGTGACGCTAGGAGGTGAAGGACCTAAAGATGTAGGGCCTAGTAGTAACCCACTAGCTCACTGGAAGTGCTGCCTGCAAAAGAGATAAACGCATGTCTGGCAGAGTGATTAAATTTGCATAAGAGTGTGCTGTTACAAAGTGCATTCATGATCCCAAATGCAGATGTCCTATCTCACCATATGATCTCTTCTGCACGTGATCCTGCCAAGATGCCCTACCCAGAGGATGAACAAATAGAGACACTTGATCATGGTCTTTCAGATACCAAAACTGTGAGTTAAATAACAGCCTTTTCTTTATGCATTTTTCAGCTTCAGTGATTTTCTTACAGCAGGAGACATCAGAGTAAAGTTCACATACCATGGAATATTAGTCCCTAGGAAGACAGAAACACTATTATATAAAATAAGATAAATCTGGAGGATATTATGCTAAATGAAGATGAAAGGAGAGTCATGAAAATACAACAAACAAGTCCATAGATATGAAACATCTAAGGTAGTCAGATTCATAGAACAAAAAGAAAAATGGAAGTTTCCAGTGGTAAAGGAAAGAATAAGATAGAGGAAAAGTGGAATTAAATACTCCTCCAAATGAACTGAATTAAATTCAAACAAGAAAAACACGGTACATTCAAATTCTACCAAGCTCATATAACACACAGTGGCACCTGGTTTCACAAACTTCATCTGTTTCATGATTTTGGGGAAGATGTCTTTGGTTTGGTTAAGTTTGTCATGTGATGTGAAGTATGTGAAGGGAAGCAAAATCTTGTCACATGATTTTGTTTGTGAATCAAATTGTGAACGGACTTCTAAATCATGGTATTTACTGTAATACAAAATTCACTAGACACAATTTTAAAAATATGTATTACAGGTAATATTAATGTATAAATTAATATACAGTTGTCAATATGAATGAATATAAACATGATCTTACCCAATATTAATATATTTGACTTCATAGATGTCACCAAAACAGAAGTAACCAATGAAGGAAATCAGTAAATGACCCATAGTGGAGATGGGTATGCCTAACACTACTATTAGTGACAGCAAAATGAGCAGAGAATAACAGGAGTAGCGAGTAAGAGCCAGAGAAGAACCAGGGACCAAGTGAACATTACAGGAAATTCAGATGGAAAGAAAGATGGGGAGGGCCAGGGATTTAGCTTTCTGGCTCAAGCACTTGCTTGGTAAATGCAAGGTTGTGAGTTCAAACACCAGTACCAAAAGAAAAAGAAAAAAAAAAAAATGGGGAACACAACAGATTTTATGTGCTGAACTTAAGAATGCAACTTCCAGAGCTTCAGACATTTTGTAGAAAAAGAAGGCAATACAAACAACAGTGGAGAAGAATTCCATGGAGTGCCAGAGATAGGATTACTTTAAAATACTATGAGATATTTACATATTAATCCAGTACAGTGATACCTGGATAGTCAAACAGCTCTACAGTTGGAACTGTTCACTACTCAAACAGCAAAGTTTAGAAAAAAACTACGTATAACTTTGCTCTGTAATCAAACCAAAAATCAATGTGAAGAAACACAGCCAAGAGTGAGTCATGGGTGACTTCTCACCAGGGGACATAAAGTGGTGACACTTTAGTGTAAGCACTGCTTTCACCGAGACAACAGACAGTTCTCATGTTAGTGCATTAAAGCATTCGTCACTGTCCTTGTTCTTTTGTGTTTTGTGTGAAATATCATAACCATGGCTCTAAAGAAAGTTAGTAACATCAACATTAAAGGTAACAGGAAAACTGTGAGAACAATACAAATCATTGCAAAATTTGTTAAAGACCTGGAAAAATGAATTTATAAGTGTAATTTTTGGACTATGTAACCAACTACTTGGCTTTCTATTATTTTTTATGGGAATCATACATTAATCTCTCGAATTGTGGTGTTCAAACATGAATTTCTAACAAAACTCATTTCACAAATGGAGGAATCACTGTATAACAAGATGGACACAACAAATTTATGTGGAGAAAACAATGATTAGAGCAAATCATTTGTTCAAAAAAAATGACAAATCACTAAAATGTAAATAAAACATAGCAGTTAAGTTTACTAAACTGATAACATACCATTGGGGGAAAAGATATTAAATAACAAAAAAAGGAATCTCTATCTAAAGATGTTTCTAAGACAGTAATTAAGAAGCCAAATATTGATAGTCAAGATATCAAAAGTTCCAAATTTAAAAACAATAAATTTAACACATAAAAGTATACTTTAGTAGTATATTCTATGTTAAATGGAACAAAGAAAATAATTAAAATTGTTCAAAAAATTCTGGAATAGTATAAATTTTATACAGATTCTTGGTGAGATATACTTACTTTGGTGAAGAAGAAAATCTTCTAAATATATAAAGCAATAGATAATACCTCTTAGAACAGTCTTATAAATTATAGATATAAAACAAAAAACATTACAAGTATTATAAAGAATATGGAACTGCTGATTATACGCATATAATTTATATTAAACACTCCATGGAACAATCTACAAGAAGCTACCAGGAACCTTAAAATGAATTACCACAACAACAACAACAAAAAAGACATGTCAGACCCTAGAAATTTGTACATCAAAGGTAAATTTTAGCTGTATATCAGCTACTTGGGAAGCTGAGGCAGGAAAACTGCATGTTTCATGTTAGCCTGGACAACTCATTAAGACCCTGGCAGAGAATAAAAATGAAAAGGGATAGGAATGTGGGTCAGTGATAGGGTAACCCTAGGTTCCATTCCCAGTATCACATAAAAAGTACTACAAATTTCACAAGCAAAATATGAAAGTTAAAGGGGGGGGTAACAAAGAGCCAAGGATTTTCTACACTTAAAGCCCAATAAGAGTACTAATACATAGTGCAGAAGGATTTGGGGCAATCTTGAGATGGAAATCTGTTCTGTCCACACACCTCATGCTAACAGTTTAATAAACTGATTATGTGATTCCCATACAGGACCACTGATCAAAAAAAGGACCTGTGTTTGGACTACCTTTCTGGCTCTGTGGAATAATAATCTCAGAAGACCTAACACGTTCCCATTAGAGTTCAATGCTGAATGCAAGGGCTGAATCACCACAGCAGGGAGAGACAGCAGAGACAGCTTTGTGTGGTTTCTGGGCATCCACACGTAAGAACAAGCAGCTGTGGTCTCCTGACTGGATCTTCCCAACACAGGGAATGGGGTTAAACACGGACACGGAACACGGTGTAGAGATCAGGATCATGGAGTCCACTGTTCTGAAGTTCATGGAGAGAACTGAGCAACAGATTGAATCAAGAATCTGAGAGTCAAAGCGGGGACAAGAAAAGAACCCTTCCCACATGACACCGAGTGAAGAATTAAGGATTTCCCAGAAACCAGTAACACAGGATCATCCATTTTGGCACACAAGCTGTCTTGCTCTCTGCGCTGCAGCAACACTGGCAGGTAAAAAAGAACTACAACCACTGAGTGACATGTAAAAACTGACAGCAGAGAAAACTCTAGTCTGTGAGTCACAGGAAGGAAATGTCTGTCCCACAGACCACTCTCTGAGGGCAAGCCCACAGAGCTGCAGCTTCTACTCTGCCCATATGAGTGCTTACCTGTGTTCACATCTCTGACATTTTCCCATCTGTCTGAGTTTCTGGATGCTTTCACTTGGCCATCCATGCTCCAAGGCTCTGCCTCTTGCTCCAACATGGAGAAAACACTTTGGTCAAAAGGAGAGATTCCTGTTGTAGAAAGAAAGGTAGGTGATGTGCTGTAGCTTTTCCACACTCTGGCCCCGTTTATTTGAGAAAGAGATTACACAATGATCTAGACAAGTATTTCACTGTTCTATGAATATATCTACCTCTCCTTCAAGGCCCAAAGATTCAAAACACAGGAATAAAAACAGAACTGGACATTCTAGGTCTGCTATAAGGCTTCATGCATATTTCCACTCTGAAACAACTACTGACATATCAAGCACAGCAGTGGGAGAACACCTGAAGAAAGAAGACAGCTAAAGTCCGTATATGGCACTGTGACGCTTCATATTTGAGAGGGAACTAGGCATCTGTCTCAATCACACAGTGCAGAGGATTCCACAGCGACACACAGGAAAATGCAAAGAGACACAGGGTAGACCTGACTTCTGAAAGGAAGTCATCCTCACCTAGGGAGACCAGGTTCATGTAGTTCTCCAACATCACCTCCCTGTACAGAGTTCTCTGAGCAGGGTCCAGGCATTTCCATTCCTCCTGGGAGAATTCTATGGCCACATCCCTGAATGTCAACAGATCCTGAAATAAAAAACATATATCACCATGGGGACATGGGGAAGAGCTATAATTTCCATGTATATAATGGAAAGGAGAGAAATACAATTGCTGATTCAATAGGTGCCTGAACTAGGTCCATGCTGAGGATGGATCCATACTTTGAATGTCTGGAGAGACAAAGTCAGTTTTACATGTTAATGAGGTAAGCAGTGCCACGTTGACTCTTAGGTTGCTTTGGGAGAGAATTGCTCATCATAAAGACATAGATAGTCATGACATTCACTCCCACTCCCAACCTCCAGGGAAAGGCAGGGATCTAAGGTTTCAATTGATCAGCAATGTCAACGATATAACCAATCATGCCTAGGAATGAAGCCTCCATAAAATCTCTAAGGTTCAGGGCTCAAAGCAGCAGTCGGATAAAAAAATGTCTGGAGGTCCAGAAGGTGAAGCATCCACAGAAGGCATGGATGTACCACAGTTCTTAACCCACAGCTTGCTCTGCACATCTTTTCCATCTGAATGTCCCATCTTTTTAACAATCTTTAGAAGAAATGCTAATGGCAAGTGTTTTGCTGATTCTCAAAAGCTGCTGAGGCAAATTATTGGAACCCAAGAATGGGATTATAGGAATGGGAATCCCCTTTTATGCGTGATCATTCAGAATCACAGGTTGAAGCTTGTGGGTGATACTCACACTTGGAATGGTCACACTCCAACTCTGCCCCTTCCTCCGACACGGAGCCAACACTCAGGTCAAAAGGAGACACTACTATCATTTGATACGGAGATACTTCTGTGGGAATGAGCCTACAACAGTGGAATCTAGGCTATTTTTACATAGACAGTATCAGAATTACACTGAATTAGAGAGAACTGCTTGCTTGGTGTGAAGAAAACTCCTCACATATCCAGAATGACAGCTTTTTGTGTAGCGTGTACAGGAGAAAATGAGTTTGCCTTTTAGTCCCTTTCTCTCCTTTACTAGGAGGAAGCATCTGGCCCATCACAACTGCACAAGATCTCTGGGCTGGGATCAGTAAAGAGGGAAAAAGAGGGCAGGGAAGACATAAAACAGCTGAGTTGGTTAAAATCTAACAGATACAATGACTACAACCTGGAAAACAAAAGTTACTTAAATACAGGAAGTAAAAAACAGTGAAAATAATCTTCCTCTCTTGGTAGCTTTCTTTAAACACACATATTCACGTGCACATATGCATGAAACATCTTACATTTCCATTAGTAAACATACCATGGCATTTAAGTAAAAGACACTGCCTGATCCATGAAAAGAAATTTGGCAACTGTTTTGAAGGACTGATGTTAGCAAGATAAAGGCGCGAAAAGCCCCAGATACTCCTTTCCTCATGGAAACAAGGATTCAATAACAACACAGCAACCAACTGCACACACTTAAGAGGCTGGAATCCTTCAGGCAAGCCCTGGATGAACAAAAATGAAGACGATGAAGGTTTTAAGGAACGTCTATAATGAGACACCATCATACGCATCTCAGAAGAGGAAGAAAGAGAGGGCCAATGAGAATTTAAGATTGCCCAAAATTTCTCGAATATGAGAAAGATGTACACACAAATTCAAGCAGCTTGGGGAAATTCAACTAGAATAAACGCAAGCAAACTACACCAAAACACGTAATGATGGTACAGTAGAAAGCCAGAGACACAGAAGAGTCTTGACAGCAGCAAGAGAAAAGGGGCTTCCCACCTGGGAGGGAGCCTCAAGGAGTATCTGAAGATCTCTCAGCAGGAACTTTTCCAGCTACAGCAGGGCACAGCAAATTCACAGCAATGATGGAAAACAATGCCAGTTACCAATCCTACACCAGGCAAAACTTTTCTTCAAAAACAGAGAAATTCAGAGTGGCCAGATAAAAATTAACAGTTCATTACCACTAAAACTTCCCTATAATAACATATTTTTTTTCTTCTCTCTCTCTCTTTTTTTGTAATGAGGTTCTTGCTGATTTGCCCAAGTTGGCCGCAAACCTGTTATCCTTCTACCATGGCCACCAGAACAGATGGGATTACCCCATGTGCAGCAGCTTGCCCAGCCCAAGAATTTATAAAGCTGAAATGAAAGAACAGAAAAACAAAGGATAAAGCATATAACACTGCAGATACATCACATAAGCCCTTTGTTATAAATGTGCCCAATATGAATGAGCTACATGACTGAATTAAGACATACAATGATTGAAGAGAGGAAAAAAGAAAACTAAGATTCAACTATATGTCATAAACAAGCTTCACTTTTGTTTAAAGGGTTCACATAGGCAAAAAGGGAAACGATGGAAAAGAAAATGCAAATAGAAACCCCAAGAGAGCAGGGTTGGCAACTATTTTTTATTTATTGATTTTTTACTCCTTTTTTATATCTGCCATAAAAGAGAAAAAGGACATTACATAACTATTAAAGGGGGCAGTTCTCCAGGAGATATGATTAATCACAAGCAGGTACCCAACATTAATCCTCTCCAATATATGAAGCAAATATTGACAGAATAAGACAGCACAATACTTGGGGGACATATCATGCTCCATATCACTATGGACAGCATAATCAGACAGAGGATCAAGAAATAAACAGGAGGCTTTGACAACACTATGGAGTACGCACCTCACAGACCTGTACAGAACGTTCTTCCCAACAGCAGCAGAAATTACTACCTCTAATACACACAAGGAACACTGACTTCTTAAGACTGTATGTTAGATGAAAACAAATGTTGACTAACTTTAAGAAACATAAAGACATTCAAATTTTCTTTGGTGCACAATGAAATGAATGTAAAAATTAATAGCTGGAGATACAAAATCCCTCAAATATGTGAAAATTTCAAATAATCAACAGGTAAACAGTATAAAAGATTTCAGAAATCATCTGTAACCAAAGAAAAATGAAAATATGTAAAAACTGATGAAGTGTAGTAAAAGCAACAGTAAGAAGTCTAAGGTAGTAAATTTCTATGTCCAGAACAAATGATAAACTCAAACCATTATATCTCAATCAAAAACAAAATATACTAAACTACTGTAAAAGCAAGTGAAAAATGAATACCAGAGCAGAGATAAATGACACAGCAGACACATTAAACCGTAAAACATGAACTTTCGAGAAATAGCAGCAAAAATGACAGGTACCTCCAGAAGCACAAACAATGGTGTCTCCTTATAGGACCCTGATACAGTGAGATGGGGTCTTAGGGCTTATGAGTGAGGCTGAATGTACCCATGGTTACAGGAAGTTAGTAATCCTGGGTCCAGCACTTCACAGAGGGAGACACAGAAAAACAAATGAGATCATTGCTTACCTGAATAAGAGCCATCTCTGACTCCTTTGTTTTCCTCTGCCTCCTCTTCCAGGCTACCCCTAAAGACAATTCTAACACATGTAATGTCAGCAATTGGGAACCTGAGGCAGATGAATCAAGGCCAGCCTGGGCTACAAAATGAGTTCAAGGTGACCAGGAACTGCATAGTGAGATCCTGTTTCAAAAAAAAAAAAAAAGTTAATCTTGAACATAGAAAACATACTGTTTAATGCTCACAATGAACACATTCCCCTTCAGGTGCACAGTCACACATTCAAAAGAGAACCTCACCATGTGGAATGATTGCCTACTGCACTGGTTGAGTCCAACCAGAGACTTCTTCCATATTTGTCAGAGTGTGCTTTCCCCTGGTAAAGCCCTAAGACCCAGCAGTAGTGTGGAAACTGACAGCAGTGAGTTCTCTTTCAGGAGATAGTCCCTGCCCTGACCAAACCCATGTATACCGTTTCCTCCTTATTCCTCCATGGAGCACTAACTGATCTCAGCTCTCAGAAATGCAAGGCACAGTCTAGATGCTCCGCACTGTGCACAGAATAAAATTAACCTCAAATATTACTAAGGCTGGGTCCCAGGCTGATCATGTGAATGGCACAAGAGACTTCTTTGCAAAACACCTCCCTCCGCCTGCCAATGGGAATCCTCCCTTGAACACCACCCAGCAGGGTAAGCCAAACCCACTTCCCACCTTCTGACTCAGCTCTCCCTTTGGAGCTTTGTTGTCCCCAGGATCCAGACTGGACTGGAAAGGATCAGAAAGAAACTGCAGAGCAGGCAACGTGGACCAGAGGTGGAGGAGGGTGTGATTAGGAAGTTAGCAGAAGGTGGAAAGGTCATAGAAGATGACCCTAGGAGACACTAGGCGACCTGGGAAGGCAGGTATCTGCCATCTGCCATCAACTAATGGGTGACTGAGCTGCAATGAGAGAGAGAACCAAGAGCCTATATTTAAAATATACGTGCAGTATCTAGCTAAGCCTCAGGAAGAGAATGGTCACCTCTACCTAAGATACTACTACAGAGGAAGCCGTCTTCAGAGGTCAGGAAGTCACATGGGGACGATGAAGGTAGAGATGCCTGCCACCTGTTGATGTCCCAGCAGAGTTGAGGTGATACAGGACATAGGATTCCAGGGCTCCTGGGGGAAGTCTGCAGTGTAGACGTAGACATAGTTATGGTGACAAAACCATGAAAAATGAAAAAGACTGTACAGAAAGGCTGTGGTAATGCCAAGAAGAGGTTCAGGGCAAGGCACAGCGTCACAGTCAGACCACCGGGCTTAGGAGATACAAGCAGAACACATCGCGTTGCTGTCTGACAGGGCTGTGAATCACCTCTCCTCTCCTCCAGCTCTAAGCTCCTCACTGTTCCTGCTCCTCTCCCTACTCTGCCGCCCTCATCTCCAGAGGGATCAACATTCTATCTTCTTTTTATTTTTCTCCCCTGATACTTTGTTGGCTTTTTCTTTCACTCCGTGGGAGTCCCTCAGCCATTCCCTACTTTGCCACCTGTTTCTGGGTCTCTCTCTCCTGACCCTTTTCCCGCTTCTCACAGGGAGAATGGGAAGCCGCCCCTGGAGGAACTCAGCTCCTTCTGAGATGCAAGAATCAGGACACAAGACAGGTCCAGGTCACCTCCCCTGGCCCGGCGGGGAGACTTCAAGGTGATGCCAGGGGAGCGATGCAGCCCCGTAGCCCCAGGAAGGGAGGCGCAAGCGAAGCCAGCGGTGAGGAGGACAGCGCCGGCCTCGAAGAGGGCAGCGGGCGACGCGGGCGCGGGGGGAGGCGTCCTCGGCCCTGGCGGGACGGACAGGTCCGGCCTTTAAGCGCCTCTGCCCACAGGGCCCACGACGCCCTCACAGCGCCGTCCGAATTTACCGAAGCGCAGGGGACAGAGAGGGGACCAGAACGTCCTTAAGAACCCAGAGCCTGACAGGGAGGAGCTGGGACCTGCGGAGCACAATCTGGCCAGAGGGAAACTCACACGCGACACAGCGACCTTCACTCCACCGGACGCACTTCCGGGTCTGCAGAAAACTGCGCGCGCAGCCGAGAAGCACGGACTGGGCGGGGAAGCGAGAGAGGTGGGCGGGGAAACACCAGCGGTGGGCGGAGAGACGCTGGCGGTGGGCGTGGCCTACAAGAGTGGTGGGCGGGAAGAAGCGGGTGGTTGGAGGGAAAACACCAGTGGTGGGCGGGGAAATGCGATCAGTGGGCGGGGGCGGGGGCGGGGCGGTGCCCCTGCTCCCTAGATGGGGTTCACAAAGTGCGGCTTCTTCTGTTGGGGTCCATCCCTCAGGGACGCTGGGTCCACTCCGCAGTGTGGACCCGGGATTTCCTTTAAGGAGGCCGCCTGGGGCTGGTACTGGTCGATTTTTGCTATTAAGATTAGTTAGACCGATTTAATTTAGAATGCCTGGCACTACCCGGCAGACTGGGAACTCGGGAAGTGGAAGCCGTGCCTGGGCTGACCTTGCACTTTCCCGCGGGAGCCAGGAAAATATCAGGCCCGGAGCGCGGGGCCGCGATCTTTAGTCGCCTCCCGCCGCGTCTGTCGGTCCCTGTCAGTCCGGTGAGTCCCGGCTGCTTGCTACTGGCTGGGTCCGCGCGTGTCCAGTGCTAGTGGCACATCGAGTCCTGCACCTAGACCCGCGGTCCTGCAGCCTGCGATGTAGACGGTGTAGAGGGTCTGGGCCTGGAAGCGGTTTTAGCAGAAGAGAGGTGTCTTCATGCCAACAGTTGGAAGTGCGGAGGGCGAACACACAGGAGAGAGAATGAGGGAAAAAACAAGACAGAGTGGGTGGGCTCAGAGGAGACACGGCATGATCTTGAAGATATGGACAAAAATGACTGTGGAATTAATTTAGTGCCTAGGTCATGGGCTGAATCCCTAAACGACCCCAAATGTTTTTGGGGGTTAAGGTTGTTGTTGTAGTTGTTTTTTCCCCAGACACAGTTTCTTGAAGCTTCACTAACTTGCCCAGGATGGACTTGAATTTGTGGTTCTCTTTGCCTCAGCTCCCACCCACCCCCAAAAGTACAAATGTGTGCTACCATGCTGGACTATTTTTTGTATTTTAACTTGTTAAATTAATATATAATATTGGTAGAGTTCCTTGTTTTGAATTATAATAAAGCCTGTTTATCTTTTGTTAATAGCTAAATCACTTTAAATGGGTAAACATAATTTGGCATACACTTATCAGCCCTGCAAAGACCTGTGATGCTATAGGCTGCTCTAAGCATAGAATATCACTTGGTATGTGGAACGTTATATCCCGTGTAGCACTTGTATCTAGAGGGCTTTGTTTTCATTTATATATTTCTTTCATTGTCCATAAAAATGTGAAATCCAGAGTGATTTGGTAGATTTTATATCCTCTGAAAGAAAATTTCATAAAACAGAGATTTATAAATCACCCTCAACTATCTTCCTTAGAATGATCTATCAGGATCCTCACAATAGTCAGATCGATCTTTTACCTTTCTCTCCTGCTCGCATTTTGTGTGCACGTAAGACCTGCCCTGTGTCCGATGGGTGAAATGCAGCTTTTGTTTTGTTTCGTCTCCACATTTAGGGATGTGGCCTTAGAATTCTTCCAGAAAGAGTGATGAGACTTAAGCAGTGATGGGAAGCCTAATTAGAAAGACACACATATTATAAGATATAAGAATCTCTCACTGCCTCAGAAATCAAAGTACCAGCGTGAAAATATTCAATTGCTGAAATAAACAATTTTAAAATCCTTAAGACAATGTAGCCTCTCTATCAGTCTCCAAGGCGTACCAAAGTTATCTACGTGACTTTATGTTGAGATACAGATTATGATCATGTAAGCAATCATATAGAATCTGATGAAAAAAATCAGTGCTTTGGTTCTTGCAGATTTCACCTGGGCTTACTATCTATTCTCTTGTGAGGGTTTTCGTGTCAACTGAGAAGTCAAATGTTCATTGGGCTCCTAGAGTTTGACAGGAGGGTTGCAGCAGCACATAGAAAACAAGCAGGAGGGAAGCCACTAGGGTTCCTGGGAACTCTGGCCTGATTTACTCTGAATAATTCAATGCCCCTGAAACAGTGGTTGTCTCTGGTTGTCTGGTAGTGATAATCGAATGATTTGGGGGGGGGGTGTTAAGTGACCAAATATATAAGAATACAGGGAGGTGGGATTTGGACATAATTAAAGGAAACTGACAGTCTTCTACCAGAGTCCTGCAAATGGTTCAAAGATAATTTTTTAAAAATACTCAATTATATTACCGTTGATTTGGGGCTTAAGGCTTCCCTGGCAGTAATTAGTGGTAGATAATAGATGCAGAGGTTTGGAAGGTGAATACAAGCCTTGTGTGGGTGTTAGATAAGAAGATAATGGGGACAGTGAGAAGTAATAGCTTCAGGTAACCAAATGAAATGGGGAAGATAAGAGAGTTGTATGAAGGACCCAGAAAGAGGTAAATTTGGGGATACGAAAGGGGACACAAAAGTGGGTGCCACCTCGTATATGAGGTCTGAAATTTTGAATGAGAAGCCAGAGAGATCATAGTATTGTGTTGAGGTCACTGCAATTAGACTTAATATGCATTAATTGGGGAAGAATATTTAGAGATGATGGAAAATGAAGACTACTGTGTCCACCTCAGCGTCTGACAGGGGGACAAAAGCATAATGGAAGTGAATATAGAAGTGAAGATAGCCTGGGTGAGATAATGATGGGCAGCAGAAAAGCAAAGGAAACATTTTTCACCATTCATTGAAATTCATTGCTGGCCTTAAAATAGACAAATTGCTACCAACATCTGAAACAGTGAGCTTAACAGATTTCTTGTGCTCCCTGAAGACTACAATGAACTGTTGAACATAAAGGTTATTGTGGAAAACTCAGGCATAGAGATGGGTCAGAAGTCATGGTGATCTAGTGTGGATTGTCTCTCTAACTTTTTTTTTTAACTTTTTGAGATTGAGTCTCACCATACAGTTCAGTTCAGGCTAGCCTTGAGCACACTTTGTAGCCCAGGCTGGTCTTGAACTTGCAGTGATCCTCTTGCCTCAGCTTCCCAAGTTCTGGGACTGCAGGGGTATTCCACCATGCCTGCTGTCTCCCTAACTTTTAAGTTGGTTTAAAATGCTTGTGGAGAGTTGGATAGTGGGAGCACGTTAAATTTGCACGAGTTGAACAATTTTTTTCATTAAGTTGGTATTCATTAATTATAACTTGAGAGGCTGAGGCAGAAAGATTGTAAGTTGTAGCCCATCATGGGCTTCTTAACAAGACTTGGTCTCAAAATGAAAAATTAAAAGGGGTTGGGATATATCTTCAAGTTATAGCACTTGTCCTCCATGCACAAGGCTCTAGGTTTAGACATCAGTAAGGATAAAAGCAAAAAAGTGGAACTTGTAATTTTTAAGTTTTTCATGCTTATATATGTTTTAAAAAACTCTGTAACATATGAATATGTTCAAAAATTCTTTTTTAAAAGTTAATTTTATTGGTACATTTTTGACATGCATAATGATCACATACATCATATATCTTAATTCTATTATTACCCATTCTCCTACCTTCTCTGCAGTCTTCCTTCTCCTATCCACTTATAACACTTTGTTTCTAATTTTTTCCTTCCCATATTTTGGACTTTTAATGCTTATTCCTTTCCTTCCCATCTCGCTTCTCTTGTTCCCCTTCTGTTTGAACATTTTCTTCTTACTTCTCCCAGCAATGGATTTCAACAAGTCAGCACTGGCTCATAAAATTCTTAAGGCAACCAATGAAAAGAGATCAGGCCTGGAATTTCTTCCAATACTGAATATCTTTTATCACCAACCAACCAACTTTTTAAAACTATTTTTAAATGTGCAGAGAACTAATGAAATACATGCTAAAAGTTAAAGTTAGTATATGGATAAGGTTGAAATAATAGAGAACATAAGTGTAAAAAGACATCAAGTAGAAATTCTACCTGCACAAGTACAATAATTGAAATAAAAATTCACTAGCAGAATAATCAGATTTGAGCAGACAGAAGAATAACCAGCAAACTTGAACACATAGCAATTTAAATTATGAAATCTGTGTTAAAAATAAAAATCATTAAAGTGAAGAGACCTGGCAGTCTTGCAAAACCAGATAAAGCAGGGTGTCATATGCATTGTGGATGTTCCAGACTGAGGAAAGGAAGATTATACTGGAAGAAATACTGATTGGAAGCTCCCCAAAGTGGATGTCAGAAGTGATTATAAACATGATGATTATAAACTTTAAGTGGTCAAAACCAGCTATGGTAAACCTACTTTCCACAGGCACCAGTGCCCCTGAACTGCTAATAATGTGACCATAGGCAGTCAGAAAATTTCAGTATTACCCAATTTGAGTGCTGTTTTTCATGACTTGAAGCACTGTTTGAGCCCCACTACAGAGGCAATGATGAAATTCTCTGTTTAGGGAGGTACACTTTAGTGCTAATTGTGCCTTTTAAATTGACCGGACCTAGGCATTTGAATAGAAACTTGTGTATATAAAATGATACAAATCCATCAATGAGTCAGCCAAGAAAATGTAATGAATACTGATAAAAGTACTTAAATCTACCTACATATATGTTTGCCTGTAAAGATAAGTGTGTATTGATGTTGAACAGAGTTGGCAGTTTTTAAATTTCATTAATAACCTTGGACTTATGTCATTTTATAAAATAATTTGGTAAACAAAGTCATCAGTGAGTTTAGAGAAGTTAGCTGAGCTAAATGCAATAATAGCAAACATAAGTCACCAGCTTAACAATGGATTAATGTTCATGAAAAGGTACCAAAAATATACAGGAGATTAAAGTTTCTATTAAAAATATGGGTGGCAAAATTGACCACGTCAGGGAAGAGTGTCAGAAGTACAAGACAGGCCTGATGTTGGTGAGCAGTAATTCAGAGATACCTTAAAAGCAACAGGAGAAGCACAAGGAGGCTGAGGCAGGAGAACTGCTGATAGTTTGAGGCCCACCTGAGCTACATAGTAAGT